AGTTCATTTTGCAGCCTCAAATCTCCTCCGCAAAATGTTGTAGGCTAATAAGAGTAGATCTCTCATTAGTTGTTCCTTCGTTGAGTACTTTATTCATGTTTTTGTTACAGCTGTTTCATAATGTTCCTATTTGAACTTGTATACCAGGCTTTGGTGTACCTTTACAAAAGTTCCATGATTGATTTAATGCTGATAGTATTGAATTTTAAAGCTGGTTGAACGGAAGAAATATTACACTTGCGTCTATCACGTTGAGGAAATTGCATAAATCTCAGTGTTTGCTTTTTTCCGCAGCCAGCAGAAAGCTGATGTCATTCAACAGCCATTTCATTTGCAACAGCCCACACTTTTACTTAAATGTTATAATTTGTAAAGCGTTAATATTTGAAGAGTTTATTAGACTTTCAAACTGCATTATTCTCAAAAATTAAATGACTCAAAAGAATTAAATTATAGCATTTTGGATTTTTAAAAGTATTCCTTAAAACATTATAGTCGTATTTTTAAACTTCTGTTGATTGCAAAGGTTTTACATTTTTACAAGTTTAAATTATTAACATTGCTAAGTAAAATTATTTTCAAATTAAGTATGAAGAACATTAGCGGGCTCACATGAGCTTCTCAGGCGTTGCTTAATGCTACTTGATAAAATACAATTTTTTATTGATTAGTGATAAAAGGGCCATCATTAAGTTTATTTGGAATTTACAATTATATTGTGTAAATACAAAATTTATTAAAATGTCTATCATTAGTCCGAGAAGAGACAGGATTTGTAATAAACAATGCTTATCGTTTGACATAAATATAGAAAAAGACTTCATTTACAAGAATCTCTTACAAATTAGAATGTATTCTAACACATGGAAAATCCGTAATAGCAAATTTTAAATAATTAGTATGTTCTAATTATCATCTATTGTGTTACAAATTTAGAACTATTAACCTATAGATAGACATAGGCTACAGTTAAGGTAAATTAATCGAAATATGATCAAAAGTGTTTATCCTTGAAAAATTTAATGAAATTTAATGATATAAATTTACCTCATGACTTATGAACAATGAACAAAATCATTCACTAACATTCTATGCTTTGAAAAATCCATGTATAGAGCCTTATAGTAATTTGCTTTCCTAAGTTTAACTGCAGTAGATGATTGATACAGGAAAATGGAAAGGAAATTAAAACTCGGTTCTTATATCAAAAAGTTTTATAGCTGAAATTGGATCAAAGCACTAAAACTGTAAAAACTTTTAATAATGGAATTGTAGCTGAATTATCTATTATTATTGCTGCTTTAAGCTATAGCATATCTCAATAATAATAGATAATTCAGATATATTTAAGATATTCGAACTTCTTGTAACTGAAGTCGGTTATACAATTGAACTTCATTTACAAGAAATTTTATAAATAACGTAAAGATTAACGCGCATTTTGTAAGTTTATAAGGCATTAAATTATTTTTTGTACATCAAAGTCATACAAAGTAAGGAAAAAATAACAAACAAAATATTTATTTTCTTTGTTATTTTTTATATTAGCATTAATTTTTTATATTAGCATTAATTTTACAAAATCATTATATTTTATAAAATTAATGAATAATAAGTTATCTAAAATTCTTTTGTTTAAATTTATGATAGATTTAATTCAACTTTATTGAAATTATCTGCTTCTAATTTTCTCAAAATAACTAAAATATAAGGAATTACATCTTAATTTTATGGTACTGAACACAGTTGAAGAAAATAATATGCTTGGTATTAATTAAGGTAACGTAAACACATTTATAGCATTATGAACTGTACATTTCTAAACATTGAACACATTTATACTATAACCTACAGATTTCTAAACATTAAATACATTTATACTACACGTCCAAGCTTATGTTTTCTGTTTTCGAAATGAATCTCTACGTCAATATTTTATCACAAAATTTTCTACTGGTGTTATACGTGTTCTAAAACATAAAAGATAAAAAGCCTATGGAGTAAATTTCTGCGTATTTTTTGGTACTAAGTAATAAAATAGTTTAACGTGTATTTAAATTTATGCGATTATGACATACAAAACAAACATTTATTTTTTCAATATTTCTAGGCTACTTGCCTCATTTAACCCTTTTCCACCTTGTTCCAAATTTATAAAATAGTATGCAAAATGCTACTTAATGTAAAATATTTTCAGGTAAGTATAATCGCATTCCGTGTTATTCAAGGTTCATTTTGCTACTTATTTCTTGTGTAAACTTACTTATTTCTTTGTAAACTGAGACAAATTTTCATTCGACATAAACTTTGAAACAAGTTCAGCAAGGAAGTAAAGTGTAAAACTGAATACAATGAAATAACCCTTCATATTTTCAAAAAAATACTTTAATAATAGTGAATTGGCCTATACATGAAATAATAACTATAGTACAATAACAATATATACATATTTACACAATTTGTAAGACGACTACATCAGGCACTGGGTCAATTCAATTTAAAATACACTGTGTGTGACTATCACATTCCATAAAGGAAATGCTTAATTGCAATAATAGTTATCCAAGTCACCACTAAAGCGTGCTTATAATAATCGAATATAAAAAGATGCACGAAAGAATACAGAAACGTTGAATCTGCTACCCATCGATTTCCGTTCATTAGGGATAACTCCTTTTAGAGGCTGTATGCTTCCGCTGCGGATGGAAAATTGTATCTGCAGAATAACAGTAGTCAATCGAAATACACAGTATGTAAAATAATAAACAACTTTCATTTTACATGCACTACGCAACCATGTAATAGGTGCAAAATTATATTAGCATTAATTTTACAAAATCTTTACAGTTTTAACAAATTAATGAATTAATAAGTTGTTCTAAATACTTTTGTTTAAATTTATAATAGATTTATTTATTTATTTCAACTTTATTGAAATTATCTGCTTCTAATTTTCTCAAAATAACTAAAATATAAGGAATTACATCTTAATTTTATGGTACTGAACACGGTTGAAGAAAATAATATGCTTGATATTAATTTTGGATGTTTTTAAAACAAGACAAACTTCTAAATTACAAAGCAAAATATAAAAACGCATTCATGGTCGTTTTTCGTAGAAATAGAATGGGTTCCTTCGTTATATTTTTTCTTATAGAAAAGTAAAGTTCGTATTGTATACTTTTGATGTCATATATATGTTAAAAAATTTAAGAAATTTTTGAGTTCAAATTGTACGCTTTTGATGTCAAATTCGCATTAAAAAAGTTTAATGGTGCCTATGTTTCAGATATTGTTTCATTACATTTGTTTTTAACTGTAAACATTAAAATGGAATGTTGCTTTAAAAGTTCTTCTGTAAGTATGATAATTTTAAATTTATTTATTTTATTGAAAGCATTTTTTGTTTTTTATATTTATCTCATTCTTAAGCGTTCAGAAAATCATATTTTATTTTTGCTCTGACTAAATATATCTCAAAATATCTTGTAAGCATTTTTTAAGAAAGAAAAATTAAAATACAAAACCTAATTCTGAATTTTTAGATTTGAAAATAATAACCAAATTTCATCAATAAAACTCGGTTATCAATTAGCAAAAACCTCTCTGTCATACAAACTTTAACGTTTTAATTCATTAAAATTCATTGCGATTAATAATACCAAAAAGAGTTTCGTCGCTTCTTTCTTCTACTAATAAAACAACGATATACGCACAAAGGAACATAAGATACCCTTAATATATTTTTTATGGAATTTAAAGGAATAATTTTTTTTAAATAAATTTAAATTTTCTAGAATTTAAAGTACTTTTCCTCAGGTTTATTTGCAAAACAGTAGTTGTTTCCAGTAGTTTTAACTCATTATTTTAGCGAAATGGAAATCAGTAATTCATTCACAGATTTATACAGAACTAATTTTGCTGATCTGGAAATTAATGGTTATTTTTTAGCTTTATTTTATATTTTTAAACATGCAGGGAAAAGCTAACAGAAGTAGAATGTATCTTGACCTTTCAAAATTATTTCCCGACTTTAATGAAGTTCGTTAAGTCTGTCGGAAAGTCTTACAAATATAATTAGAGAATTACAGTTCTCCTTGGCTATAACGCTTCTCCACATATCGAAGTATGGAATATTATGCACACTTGTTAAAATCATGTAATAAGGCGATCCGGTAACACCCTTGAAAACCAAGCGATTTCAATAACGTTAGGACGAGGTAAAACCAAAAAAAACAGAATTTTCCCAAAAAGTATTGAAAGCTTGAATTTTTCTTTGATTTAAAAAAAGAGATTATTAAAAACTAATTGAAAAAAAAATGTAAAGGTAAACGGATGCTGAAATTTTAGAAATTAAAAAAAAATTATAAAATATGCTTACATGATGAGATTTGAGATATACACAATACAATCGATGCATTTGATTTATACATTGTTCTTTCTTATTAGTATTTGTTTCTGAGCACTTAATTTGTAGCAGATGTTCTAAATGGCTTTGATAAAAAAATATAAAAAAATAAAAAAAAATCTGAATGTTTCAGATTTTAAATTACGTCCAAAGGGGGGCGTTTTTTTTTTTAACATTTTGTATGTTACCTTTCTTTATTAAATATCATGTTCCTCGCACTTAACCATAAGATCCAGTGCAACAGCAATATCGCAAAATAGTTTTAAAACGAGCATATCTTTAGAATTTCCGATACAGAGACTCACGCGCTGGAGATAAAAAAATGTTTTTTTTCTTTCTGCACAACGTTTGCCATTGCTCTCGCTTTGAAATCCTGAGTTTGTTTAATCAAAAATTCGTCAAAGTTTTAAAAAATAGGAAATCGATCATAAAACAAATTTCAAATTTCAAATTTGGTCTTCCACATGCTCATATTCGTTTTGAGGATTACGTTTATTCAAAATTCGATGACTCTATGTACCGTTTATTTTATGACAATGTGAGAAATATACATACATTTACGCAGATTTTTCATTATTTAATTTTCTTCAAAATATAATGCAGGACTCTAACATTTTGTGGCAACAGTTTGAAAAGTGAACCGACATTTATGAGTCCGACGCAAAATGCCAAAACGAAACTAATAGTCCTTCGGGATTCAAATCCCTTTGGACTAATAAGCTCATAAAAATGGCTTTGATAAAATGATATTCACTTTTAAATGTTTAACTAATACAATTTCTGTATTCTCTGCAAGCAATGTATTTTTTAAGACCATAAACTTTCAGTACAGAGAGGATTTAATTTAGTACTTATCCCTCGCGGAGTAACGAGTGAGCTCTATATACGTAAGATTAATTATACTAAAGTTTGAATCCATTTCTGTGGCATTATAATAAACTTCTCTCTTCATTTTGATCACGCTTGAGTGAAGTTTGTGGAGCTCTAAGGAGACTCTTATGTACAACAGCGTAAACAAACATAAGGTAATTCAATGATTCATAAGAGAAAAATTTGTAACAACTGGTATGCAATCGATCAGCTTTTCTGATTTAATACACTGGAGCAAAGCAGGCAGCGGAAGCGTACAACACAAACGGGAATTAACAAGTAGCAGAGAATCGCAGAAAGGGAACAAAACAAGGAAGAGTAAAACCATAGGAAGTCGGAGTCGGAAGAAACCCGTATCATAAATATCATTTTTCATTAAAAATTGCTTTAAAAGAAAGAATTTTCCTGAAGAGACACAATCCGTCGAGTGTCTATGAATGCTAATCTAATTCTTCCGGTTGCAGAATATCTGGCCCAAACATGATTGAAGCATCCGTGGCCTACACGGTAGCGTGTTGAAAAACTAGCATGCGACTTTTCCACTTCTTTCTACAACATTCTCCGTTTGGTGGCGCTCCTTTGAAAGCTAGGAATGATGCTTGGAGCCAACAGCCCTCTTTCAAACACTATAAACAGGATGTGACAGTATGTGCTACCTGAAAGAAAAATGAGAAAAAAATATATATAATTCTTTGTTTTTTAATGCATACGCATATTTAATACATTGTTATACAAATAAAAGAAACTAGTTAGCTCATGTGATTCAGATAAATAGAAATGGCACGATGATTATGCAGTTTATTTTTGCTTGGCGTTGGGGAAAAGAGCCTTATTGACAACTACTGACGCATCAATAACTGCCCTCTATTTAAAACGTGTCACAATTTCCCTTTTTCTTTAACATTATGTGTTAGGGAACTTTTCTTTCTTATTTTATGTAAAACGTTAAGGAGATAGACTGGCAAATTGAATAAACATGATAATTATTATTCGATGTATCGTATTTTATATTAACTTAAAAGAGTCGTCATAATAATAGTTTCTGCGAGCAAAATATGAAATGGAAAACGATAACACAGCAGAGTATAACTTCTTAAATTTCTCTCTGAATTTTGTAATGTGTTTTGCAACTTATCCGGAAAGTTCCAAAACCTTTTTATATTATACAGCTAATAATAATGGGAAAAATTACATAAAATAGATATTCCTATTGTTTATAATTTGAAACTTCTGTTTAAATTTGCTTTTAAGGGGACTCATACACCTTAAAACCCATAAGATGTTCGAATAGGTGACTGTTGCAAGAATTGGATAACTTATTTATTTTAAAAGCCAATTACTACAACTTTTTTAAGTGACTACATAATATAGCTGTTTCTGAAATAGTCATCGGAAAGTTTGTGTGCCACAAATATTTTTATCATTTAATCCGCTTGTGACAACATTTTTCGTCATGTTCCAACTTGCGCGCGCAGTTTAAAACATTCTGTTTCATAATTTAATTCATATTTAATATATAGCTTTTATAATGTCTGGAAACTACTGTGAACCAAAAATTCTAAATTTCATGTTAAATTTTATTTATTTTGAGTTGAGTTTTATAAATGTATTTTATTAAAAAAAATTTGTAATGTTCGTCTATAAAATTTTTCTATAGTAAAATATTCATCAGATTGTTGGTTCAGTTAGAAAATAGTGCCCATATAAGAATTCCATCCAATTTCAAGTATGTACCATTAGCCATTTTAAAATATCATGCGCACAAGGTGAAATATGGCGAAATATTTTGTCACAAAGAGGAAAATAAAAAAATATTTTGTGCAACACAAACTTTCTGGTTACTAGTTTCCAAAGCAGCTATATCATGAAGTCAGCTGTGAAAAGTTGGAAGTAATTGCTTTTAAAATAAATAAAATATCCCAATTCTTGCAATAGTCACATATTCGAAGATCATGAGGGGTTTAAGGTGCATGAGTCCCCTTAATATAATTCATATATTTGGAAAATGTAGTTTTAACATATTTCTTTCTGCTCAAGAAATTATATTCCTCTAATGTGGTTTAATGGCGAGAAGTTTTTCATTCCTTCATTTTACTAACATCATCAACGAAAATGCTAATAACCATCCATGCAGAATAAAAAGAAATCTTCAGGTAGTTTTCCAGCATCACTTCTCGCATGAAATAGTAAGATAAGTCGGAATATTGCATTACCATAGTTTGTAAACAACTATGCTATTATACCAGATAAGGCATTACTCTGGTTTCTCTTTCCAAAAGCAGTGCAATTTTCTACTGTCATCTTCATGTAGTGCTGTCGGAATTTAAAATGCGTATTAAAGAAAAATAACACGTGACAATACTTGAAATATCCAGTACAATCCTTTAACTCATAACCACTTTATTTTTATTTAGTTTGGGGTTTGAATTCCAATTTAAAGCAATTCAAAGATTCTAGCATTTTTACATTTATCTTGGAGCCTTACCAATGAAATGGTTTCAAAAGTGTTTACAAAGCTTTATTGTTTTCGTAAGGATATTTAATGGCTGAAGATATTATTTTAAAAGAAATATAGGACAAGCAATATTTCTCTAGATTGTTTTCCTAAATATAAGTGGAACTTTATCTTACTTCAGGCAAGAATTTCGCCTATTTTATCGGTGGTAATATAATGTAAATTTAATAATTGCATTCCGAGTCAGATTTTTAAGTTAACGTTTTTAGATTCAGATTTCTTATTTAATATTAATTTACAAAAGTTAAGAAATATCACTAAAAATATTTTAGATTGCCTTTCGTTGCTACTTCTGAATTCTTTTTATGCTACTTCGACAGGGTTCAGTCAGCATACGTAAATAATAATAATAATGTAATACGTAGTCAGCATACGATAAATAAAATCGATTTTAAGCCCCTTGCTCGATTTTGATCTGGTGTTTAGTGTAATGATTCATCCATCATCTAGTGAAACAAAATTTCATTATTTACTAAAATTACATTTTCGGTTTTTAAATTTGTTTTAAAGGGTTATTTAAATATGAATAATATACTAATTAAAAAATAACACTAGTTACATTACCCACAATTATTTTTAGCACCAAAAATAATAAAAAGAAACGTTTGATTTTAAACTTTCTACATTTGCCAACAATGCACAGTTTGGAAATCTTCTCAAAGAAATACCGAGTAAAAAACCCAGTGAAGTTTGATATTTCTTAATCTAGTTCTTATGTTAGTTCGAACTCTAGACAGATATTAAATTTTATTCCCAGAGTTTAAATTACGTATTTTATTCAACTCTTCTCACACTAAATTCGTAAAGACTTTTTTATTTTATTAAAATTTGTATTTTGAAACGAACATTCAAGTAAAACTACTTAATAGTAATCAAAATCGTAAAAACAACCTTGTACCAAAACCTTACGATTTTGATTGTCACATTAGCATGTTTCTCTTCTAGTCTACTTAATAATACTTTCACTAACTTTATAAAATAAAGCATTTATTTTATAAAGTATTTAACATATTAAAAGTAAAACAATATAGTATTTTACATATTAGGTCTGAAGTCTTTCACTACTGTAAACTGTGATCAGACTTTTGATAGACGTAAAACGACCTATCGCTAAGTACAGAAACTTGAGAAGGATGCAAAAAACCCTTTTATTTTAAACTCAAATAGATGAACATAACTCTCCTGGTGCTTACAAAATCCGCCAGCACTTATGACGAGAAACTGAAAGTAGAAATAAAAATATAAAGCTAAATTTAAATAACTAATAGCCAAAATCCACACAGAGCAATTTAATCGCGAAGCTGTCTCAGAATTCCCCCGATATGAACTTGACTATCGGCAAGTAGAAGTGCCGAAGACAGGAATTCTGATCTAGAATAGCAAAACTAGTACGTGGTCTTACGTCAAACCAGTAACGTAAAGATTCCAAACATGAAGTAACTGGTTGTTTAAATTAAACAAAAACATATTTAATTAACAAAAATTTTATACAGGAAATTCCAAATCCCTTGTAACAGTTTTAGTGACTTCCAACAGTGTGTTCATAGATAAAAATAATCACGACAGAAGTAAAATTTGTTTACGTTATTACAAAAGGATATAAATTCATGGTATGTCAGTTACTTATGTTTACATATATAAGGTTCGCCAGAACAATGGCGAATTCGCTAGAATTCTTTATTTTCGCAGCTAGGATTTGCATACTGATTTCAAGGCAGAAATTTAATATCTTTACAGTATGTAGTATTGTGTTTTATTAACGCCATATCGAAATTCTTATGACTGTAGTATGTAACATATGACGTATGATAGTGATACCAAATAGCATTGAGAGACCTTGAAGGGCATTGTGTAGCATAGAAGATCGGTTATGTCGGAGATCCTTGTCAAGATAAAACACTGGCATGTGCAGCAATCTTCGCGGACACTTGAGCAACGTTGTTCAAACAATCAGTCGGCGTTGTGGTATATATCTGGTTGCTGATAATAACCACTCTGAGCCCTCAGTTACAGAGCACTTAGGAATGCAAAGATTGCAATTAAACCTAACGCAACCTATGATATGTGCGTTTTCAGTACTAACACATAATAAGGAATTCTCTTTCGTTAAATGAGCATATATTTTTCTCATGGATACCGCATATACAAAAATGGGGATGCATTCATTCCTTCCAAGTCTGTGTACAAACATCAAAAGCACCTTTTGCCGTTTAGAAAATGCTATAACTCTAAATAACATAAATGTTTTCCACAAATTAATTATCATAAAATTAACCAAACGCGCTGATTTTTGTCTCAATTTCTTTGTATTCATAACTGCTTGAATGCCTATTTAATACATTTTTTAAAATTTTAGTTTTTATTCTATTATCAATATATATGCTGGCAAACACAACCGAATGCAAAATTGCGAAAGTGGACAATAACCATTAAAGTATCTTAATGCAACGCATGTAACAAAGAGCGGATCCGCATATTGAGAAGTATATTTATATCGAGATAAAATTTCTAAAGACGAACTCATAACTCCCCATACTGCTTCTGTACTCTACCCTATGATTAGTATCCAAATATCCAATTTTTAAGGAAGACGTTTAATTTATTGTGATTCGAGTATCTTTTGTCAAATTGCTTGTCATGTATGTAGTTACACTTTATTGGACATAAGTTTTTGTATTTGACGGGCTAGAAATATCACAACACGCTTTTAACGGAGTTGGCAGTTCACTTTATTCTTTGGATAATTTTAACAAGAATCTGCTTTTCCCAAAGATCTAAACTTCATCCTCCTCATATAGTTTCAAATATCGGAATTCTGTCATAGCATATTCAGCTTTGCCTTTTATATTTTCTAGCCAATCTAAGTAGTATGGGATGCTGCATTTTCCTGCAGGTAAAGTTAAAAGACTTGAAGAAAAACTGCCACAATGCTGAAAGGATATAACTGTCCATTTTGTCTGCGGAATATTTAAGTTGAGAGGATTTTGAAAACAACAATTAGTCATCTCAAACCGATATATCAAACGAAGCTTGCATATATTCCTTTTATATATTTTGTTATGGGTAAGAATAAAATTTGGAAGGAGCTATTCTGAAATTCATGGCAAACAGAAATATTTGAACTAGTGCTAATTTCGATTT